TCCTGAACAAAATTGCCTATCTATTTAATATAGCAAGATCCTGCAGCACCCACCGATGCAGTGCTTGGCTTAGCCTTTGCTGCTTAGGATAACGTGTGTAAACAGTTCCCGACTTTACTCGAATTCTTGACATTTATTTTTTTTACTTTCCAACGGTGCAAAAGTGATACACTTTCCATAGAAACTGCACTTGGAATTTGGAATGCAGTGTGACCTTCTTTCAAGGTACTGCTCACAGCTCCATCGGCCCCCAAATCACCAGGAAATAGCAGGCACTATAAGCCTGCTGTGTGGCTGAGTGGTGGGGCTGAGCTGGGATATCCTATAGGTGGTATGTTAGATGTATTTCTGATTATGTGTTAATCATTTGTTCACTTAATACCAGATTTATCAGGATGTACCATCATGAACAGTAGCAAAACCAACTAGAAAATCTGGCTGTGGGTCAAACTGAAGCAGGGAAGGGAAGTGGAGTCTCTTAAAAGTCTTAGAGTTTAGGGACTGAGGAGTTGTCTCAATCAGTAAAGCACTTGCCATGCAAGTTTGATTCCCCAGAACCCATGTGAAAAGGCCAGGCCTGGTGGCTCACACTTGTAACCCCAGCATTGGAGAGGCCTCTAGGTCTCACTGGCCAACCAGCCTAACCAAAATGTTAAGTTCCAGGGCAACAAGAGATCCTGACTCAAAAAACAAGGTGAAGCCAGGCAAATGGCACATACCTTTAATCCCAGTACTCAGGAGGCAGAGGCAGGCATATCTCTGTGAGATTGAGGGCAGCCTGGTCTATATAGTGAGTTCTAGGCCAGCTATGACTACAGGGAGACCCTGTCCCAAAAAAGACCAAAAAAATTTAAAACAAGGTAGACAGCATCCCGAAGAATGACAGCTGAGGTTGACTCCTGGCCTCCACACACATGCAGGTGCACATACATGAACACATGGACACACACCGGTCCACGGATTTAAAGTAGTTCTCATTCATAAGAACATCAGGAGGGTTTTCCCTGGATGGTGACTACCACCATGTCCCCAAGGCCATTTTGGAGTGGGATGTATGTGCTCAGGAACAGATATTCATAAGTAGCACATGTATGTTTAGCATCTATGCTGGGTACTGCTGTGGGAATAAGATGACCACATGAGCGTATGTTCCACAAAACAATTAAGTGTGTGCTTTTAACGTATACACCGTATGCCCTTGGCTTCTTAAATAACTTAATCATAAATTTTGATGAGAACTTTTCCAGTTTTCAGCACAAAGTCGATATAGGTCTTAAAGTTACTGATGTTTGACACACGAGTGTATAAGCGTAAACCAAATGCTTCATGCTGGGCACTCCTAATGATCATATCAGCAAAAAAAACAAAGTGTTGTGTTTTTGTTTAATTTTTTTAATTTCATTATTTTTATTTTATGTGTATGCGTGTATTGCCTGCATGTAAGTAAGTGCACCCATGTCATGTAATGCCCACAGAGGTCAGAAGAGGCTGTTGGATACCCCTGGAACTGGAGTTATGGAGAGTTGTTAGCTGCCATGTGGATGCTGGGATTCGAACCCGGGTCTTCTACAAGAACAACAAGTGTTCTTAACTGCTGAACCATCTCTCCAGCCCTGTGGTTTTTTTGTTTGTTTGTTTGTTTTTTGTTTTTAACTAAAGGCTACAAAAATGAAAACTACAAGGTCAAGTTTAATATAGTCAATCTGCTTGAAATCATCTCAACAGCAATGAAAATTGTTTCAGACCAAGGCAATGTCTTGAGTAGAGGCTAATTCCTGCTGTCACCTGGGGCCGACACAATAGTGTTGTTTCCTTCCACTCCTCAGGGGACTGACAAAGGCCTGAACCACGTTGTTTTGTATAGACAGAGCAGATACCTCTCATCTCCTTTCCTGGCGGTCAGTTAAGTCAGCTTCCAGGAAGCACAGGTGTCAAACCAGCACCTCTGCCTTCTTAGCCATAGCTCAGAACCCAGCAAGTCTTTCTTTTGTGGTTTTAGCAGGCATCTCAGAGCAGCTTTGTTGGTGGACGAGTGTAACGTAGCCTCCTGCCTACACATTCCTTCAGCAAGTCTCTGGTGTGTTCATTGTGGTCCTGCTCATCCTCAGAGCCCCAACTCAACACCACGTCCATGTGCAGGTGTGGCCTGGGAGGCTCAGTCTGACTTATAGCCATTGTGTTGCCATGTCAGCACTAAACTGACATTGAATCGCCTATGGGTTCATCTTGTATAGTGTTACATGCATTACAGCCTTCTAAAATGGCATTGAGGGCTGGGGGAAATGCTCAGTTTATAAAATGCTTGCCTTGCAAGCATGAGGACTTGAGTTTGATCCCCAGAACCCATGTAAACCAACATGGTGTGGTGGTGCACTCTTGTAATCCCAGCTCTCGGGAGTTCCCTGGCTGGCCAGCCAGCCTAGCAGAAAAAATGTGGATGGCACCTATGAAACAGCATTCCAAGACTGACCTCTGACCTCCATTCATGTGTACACACTTGAACAGATGCACACAGTAACACTGAAATAAATGCAAGGTTATTTAAAGGGGTGAATTATCTATCCCTCAAGCCACATCTCATATCCCCATTAGCCAAACCTGCAGGAACAGGAGGGACAAATCAAGCAAGCCATGCTGTGTGGTTCAACTGCTGGGTCTGAGCTGGGCCTGTGTACAACATCCACTCTCCCAAGCCTGTCTTTTTCTGTGGTTTTATTTGTGCTGTATGGTTCCAGGTCAGTGGTCGCTTGATTGCAGAGTATTTGTCATCACAGAAATAAGCAGTAGAGACAAAAGCTTCCCAGAAAGTGTCAGGAAGATGAGCCATGTTATAAAGCTGTTCAGTGTCTGCTCAGCATCATAGTATTGGCATGTGCAGTCCCCAGCCTGCTGCTCCTGTGTGACTCCCCAAGGACCATCCAGTGGCTGTCAGAAGCCAAGTCCTGTTCCCATCACACGTGTGGGTTTTTATCCATTAAGGCAGAAATAGCTAGGGCAGGCTACAACCTTTCATCCAGGTGTTTAGACTTAACCTCAGACAAGGACACTAAGAACAAAGAAGTGACCGGGTTGTCCAAGCTGCACAAGTTGATGTCGTTCATGGAACTCTTCACAGAGTGAAAAACAAATTCTTTATACCTTTTTGTCAGTAGTGCAATATGAGATAAAAACACATCTCTTGTTTTGCATGTGTTTGTGTGTGTACATGTGTATTTGAGTGTGTCCGTGCATATGAGCACCTGTAGAGGCCAGAGGTTGATGGTGAGATGTCTTCAATACTTCTCCACTTTCTATATTATTTTGCAGCGGGATCTCACACTGAGCCATTTTAACTAGACTGGCTGGCCAGTCAGCCCCTGGGATCCTGTCTTCACCCGCCAAAACTGAGGTTACAGGGTGCAACCCACAGTGCTTGGCTTTTACATGTGTGCAAGGGATCTAAACTCAGGATTCGTGCATATGCAGCAAATACTCTACTCAGCTTAGATTTTTATTCATTTATTTTGGAGTGATATGATATCTTCTTTGGGGCCCTCACAAAACAGGGCTATGCAGAATTCTACTCTTGATTTTAGCCAAAAGGCCAAGAAATGGTGTGTGTAGAATCCCATAGCCTCCCAGGCTCCCCACAGCCAGGGTTCCCCTCACTCCTCCCTACCACCTCTACACACACAGACCACGTGTGGATGTGGGCAGTGTTCATCTTCATCAAAGTACAGGTGGTTTCATCATGAGCCAGCACCTGAGTGACAAGCACTAAACTGGTAGCATGTCTGTCTCTTGGGACTAAATAATCACAAAATTTTTGTCATGCTGTAGAATACATTTGGACTTATAGAAAGGTCAGTTGAAGGGCGGCTGTGTGTCTGTGGTAGGTGTTAGATAGGGGCCATGTGACTGGAAAACCCCTATGTAATGGGTCACGGGGTGGGCTCAGCAGAACTTCTGGGAGGGTCCAGAGCACTGAGCCAGCTGTGTCTTCAGCCCTGTGCCAGTGCCTATAGTAGCTTCCCTTCATGTGTTCCTGGCAGCCTCAGCATCACTATCCTTTTTAATTAACTGGTAGTTATGTGACCCTGCATCAACCAAACAGGCAGGTCACCTCATTAGGAGGCCCTTTGCAGCAGCCAGCAGGAGACAGAGCTCCCAGGGAGCCCGGATACAGCTCCTCCTCATTAATCAACCTGTGTGAGAAGGGCTCTGCAGCATTCACTACTGGCTGCTGCAGCCCTCGCATTCCAGCTGCAAGTGCAGATGTGCCAAGTCCAGGAGCAAGGCGCCAGGGGGCCGGAGGGGGATCCCGGAGCAGCTTCCTGCGTCTGTTCCCATATACCGTGAAGACAGGACATTTCCTGCCCATCTCACAGTATTACTGGGCTGTGTGCTTGGTCAGAATTCAACCCTGAGAGGCCAGGCTGGCTCCTGCTCTCCTTCCTGCCTGACTCTCTCAAAACACTGAATGCCAAGTTCATGGTGCCAGGATAGAATAGCCTGGTGGTGAGAGAAGGCTGTGTTCAGCTGGTCCTGGGTGTTAGGGCTGGCATTGTTGGGTCCTCTGTGCATTGTGCATGTGTTTCTAGTGAGGGCTTGGCTATCTTTCTCATTACCATCATTCTTAAATTTGAAGAGTGATCATTTAAGTCAACCCGAAATGATCGTGTCTACAGTCAAATCTGTGTGTGGGTGGCTGGCATAGCACACCTCTTTGTTTTACTGTCCCGCTCTGTTCTAACCAGAATGCTCAAAATACGATCTCACCAAGGTGTTTGACACCACAGAACACTATCTCTGAGTGTTTCTCCCAGTGTCTGTCTCTCAAACACACATACAGACATGAGCTTGCACACCCACAAATGCATGAGAACACACCCCTGAGTGCTCTCTTTCACATAACCCCATCCCTCAAGCCTCCTGAGCGCCCCTGAGATGCTCAAGGTCAAAGAGGTCTCAAAGTCAGAGAGGTCTTCCTGTTCATGGGAGAATTCTAAATCTTATTTCAGGTCTTGACTCAGACGAAGAACTCGGGCTTCTCTGTCACCACGCCTCGTACCTAGGTGATTGTCCAGGCTGACCCTGGGCTCTTGATATTCCATAGCCTGTTACTCCGTAGCCTGTTCTTTTATTCCATGTGTCTGCACGCCTGCATGGTGATCCATACACTGAGGGTGGGGGATGCACCTGGGACATGAGCCCTGACTGACCTGTCTCAGGAATGTTCTTGGGTCCATCTCCATGGTTTGTATACCAGCTTGCTAGTCCATGCACAGCCAGTGGCTTTGGATTGTGTGAGAAGAAGAAAGTATATTGGTGCTAGCAGATCCAGCTGTCTCCATGGCTATGCTTTGTGTGCCATGCAGCCTGCCGGGTCAGCTAGTCTCACGCTTTCTCATCAGCAGTTTGCCTGGGTTTCTGTTTCTTTGTTTTGTTTTGTTTTGTTTTGTTTTGTTTTGTTTGGAACAGGGCATTGTGATACAGAGGGTCTGCAGATTTCATTTAGCACATTCACCTCTACAAAGACAGTGCCTAGTGGTCCTCACTAACCCTGCTGTGTGTTCCCCATTCCCAGACCAGAGGGTGGCATCTTTCTGTACCCTCACTGACCTGCAGCATGGACAAGACCTGGAGGGGGCCTCAGAGCTGCCCCTGTGCGTGGATCCCAATAGCAAGGAGTTCATGGACACACCTGGGTATGTGGACCCCTCTGTCCCAAGACTTAATGACCCCAGGGCAGCCTAGAGAACTTGTTACTGTGGGGCTGACCTGGCCTCCTGCCATGTGGAGAATGACAACACTGGGCTGCATTACCATTCCACTACATGGACAGGTCCTGCCTGCCAGGGTAGGTGACCGGTATCCACGGTGGCTAGACTCACTGGCAGAGAAGGGAGGTGGGGCCTCTGGATCAGTGTCTGCTCTCTGGTAGTGATGCTATCTATCAGCCTTCTGCCTGCCAGGCCAAAGAGCAGAGCACACCAAAACAGCAGCTGTAGGAGCACTTTCCCAACTGGCACCTTGCACACAAAATGTCATTTTTAGTGAAAAGTTTACCAACAAAAATACCAATTATAATGTTCCAGCCTTAGGTCTCTTAAGTCTTCTTCATTTTACCATTTTCCAGGGAGCGATCACCCTCCACGTTGACCGGGAAAGTCAACCAGCTGGAACTGATTCTACGACAACTGCAGACTGACCTTCGGAAGGTGCGTGGTCTACTGGAGCGCCCTGGCAGAGCTCTTGGCCCACACGGCAGCCTCTTTTAGCTCTTGCCCATAAGTTGAGAAGACCCAGGGAAGATAAGTACCCTAAACAAAGCCTGCACACAGAAAGAGCCCCTGCTTTCCCCTTCCCACCTGCAGCTGGGGTGTTTTTTCCTGAGGGTTCAGGGAGCCCCGTGCATATGCCTGAGGAGGGCTAAGCCTTCCTTATGGCAGGACCTCCATGTGAGGTACGATGTAGTAATCCAGCATCTTTGGTTCTATGAGTTGTTGCTTGCCACAGCTACATGTGAGCTGACCCACAATGAATCAGTTGCTCATCAAAAGCCGCATCTCCAAGAGCTCGGCTGGCTCTTCCAGTCAGCGTCCTTACTTACCTCAGAACAGCTGGCCTGCACGTGACCCTGGGTGTGCTCCTCCTTAGAGAACAAGATCCTTCCTTCCCTGCACGAGTTGCCACTGGCTCCCACTGCAGTGTCCACACTGTGCTAGGTGCCCTTTGCTGCCCATGGACATGGAGTGAAGTGTGTCGCAGAAGGCATTCCAGAACGTTCCTGGAGTGGTGACCTGGTTTGGTTTTAGAAAGAAAGGAGATTTATAGTTGATGTTAATGTTGATGGGAAGGCAGTGAAGAGGGTGAAGGGGGAAACAGTCAAGTTCAGATCTGGTGCGCAGGGAGAAAACTGGCCGTGGATGGGCACTGAGGCAGCTTTTGCAGTAACAGATTTGGGGGGAGGGCACGTGTGTGCAGGCCTGTTTCCATATGTAAGCACACATGTGTATATGTATATTTAATATATACAATCACACTCACATGTTGCAAACTTTCCTGTCTCCCATCAACAGCTGAGAGGCCTGAGGCTGAGGGCAGAGGGTAACTGCTGGGTTTGTTCAGGAGAGTTGCTCTTTGAGCCTCAACATGAGTTACAGTGATCCTGTTTACAGGTGGTGGTGGTAGGGTTCCCAGCTCCAGGAACCTCCTTACCCCATTTGCCTGGGCTGGAGATGTTCCCCAGACTCTGGAACTTAGTGCTAAAGCCAGCAAAGTCCCACCCCCTTATTTCCCTCTGCGGGTGTGGATACTTAGGCAGTTGAGTTTAAACAATATTTGGGTTTAGACGGGGGAGAGAGAATGACCCTGGGGTATAGATTGTGAATACCAAGGGACCCAGAATATGACCTTTGTGGGAGCTAGGACTGCTGATGGGCTGTGATGAGCAGGGAGACATGATTAGATAACATAGGAGGGAGTGGATTCCAGAAGTTTCCTTTTGAAGACAGTTAGGTGGCTGTGGGTTAGGAAGTAGGAGTTTGAAATTGCTCTTGGAGAGTCTGTGGGATTACAATGACCAGGTGTAATTTGCCCTGGGTACGAGAACGGGGGACGGAACTGGGCTGCAGAGTCCTGTGTTAATGTTAGGAAGGACGTTGGAGACAGAGGACATGTGGGTAGAGTGGGGTGGGTTATCTCATCCTCTAATGGTAGGCTGTTCAGAGGAAGTTTTTTAAGGAGTAGCAAACTGGATGGAGCATTAGCTGCACTGTTCACTGGCCCATCTTCCCTGTGAGCTGCTGGGGACCATTGCCATCAGAGAGCCAAGGTTCCAGAGCAGGAAGATGAAAGGGATATCAGAGGAAAAGTAGAAAGCATGGGTCTTACAACATATTGTGAGCCAAGGATCCCAAGAACAGGTGTCTGGACTCTCAAGAAGATGGCAGCCAAGTAACAGAGGGTGATCTGAGCCAGGGTGGGGAGTGACCAAATAGAGGCTAGCCCCAGTTCCTAGTCCAACTTCCCCGCCCAGTATTTCAAACCAGGGACTTTTGGGGCAGGGATAGGGTGCTAGGATTAGGGCAAGCCCAAAAGAGTGGAAAAACAGGAGACCACTGAAGGGCAGGGGCTGGACACGCTGAGGAGGTGAGTGACTCCTAATGGGCACTCCCCACACACCCCCTCAGTGATCTACAGTGACTCAAGTCAGTCACTAGAAACACCCGCTGCTGTGCCCTAATCAAGCCCCTCTACTGGGCCAGCATCCCTCAGTACTAGAGAACTGAATGTTATGCATTTCTCGTGGCTGTGTATTAGAAATGCTAGATGTATTTTTTAAATTGTATTATATAGTTTTGAATGGCAGGCGTTGAAGGTCATCGTGGAAATATGACATCACCAGGTCAGTGAGAGGGGACCATGGAGGGAACCTAGAGGCTGGATGGCTCCTCATCCCTGTATCAGTGGTAGAACCCAGATGAGTGCTAGACAGAAAAGTCCCCAATCCAGTCAGAACCCAGGGCCCTGCATGAGCAATGAACCAGCAGCCCTGTGACATGGTCTGTCTCTGGTCCCCACAGGAGAAGCAGGACAAGGCAGTGCTGCAGGCTGAGGTCCAGCACCTGAGGCAGGACAACATGAGGCTGCAGGAAGAGTCTCAGACTGCCACAGCCCAGCTCCGCAAGTTCACTGAGTGGTTCTTCAGCACCATCGACAAAAAGGCCTGACCAGCTGCTCCTCACGGGGACCACAGGCCGACTCTGCCTGCCTGCTGTCCCTTCCAAGTCCTATTGTCACGTCTATGTGTGCTTTCCACCACCCATTATAGATGTCTCGCTGTTCTGTTCTGTGTCACGCCACTCACCCCAGCAGGACAGGACAGGACAGGGGGCCTGGGCTTCTGGATAGCCACAGCAGAAGATGAATGTAATTCCTGGTGAAGGCAGGTGTAGCGTGCTGTTGGCTGAGAGGCTCTCCAGACAGTACTCAGGCCCCAACTTCCGGGGAGACAAGAATGTGGGTGTCACTTCCTGAAGCAGGTGACCTGCAGTGTTGCTAAGCCAGTGTACCATAGCCAAGCTGTAGAATTGTAAAATAAATATGGAGGCAAATAATCAGACCTGTACTTTAATGTTAAAGGTGCTCTATTTTTTTGGATGTACAATAGTTTTATTTCCACAACCACATTACCATAGCAATAAGAAGGGGCACAGTAAGTAGTCAGCAAAGCTTTGTTGGAGAGAAGCACTGAAGTTTAACAGTAACTTGAATGCTGTTACCGTAGACACTTATTTATTTGCAGGAACAAAATGTGCCTGAATATTAACAGTGTTCTGACTTTTGTTTTCATTTTAAAAGAGATACATATGCCTTGTAAATGGCTCGACCTGTTGTCGTCACTTCATGTAGTTCACTTCGTATTGTTGCTCTGCTGAAGAGAGTGAATCGCTCTGCTCACTAGAGCTCCCTGGATGCTGAGCACCAGCAGTAACCCATGTACAATCCCAGATTTGTTTATCTTTGTACAGAAGCTCTGATGAAGTGTCTCATATTTAACACCCTTATTTAAGCTTATTTAACCTTACCTTGTTAATTTTATAAAGTTGAGTTTCACCTGCGCTAGCTTTGAGGCGCGATGGAGAGAGGGAAAGGAGACAGGCAGCAGCCAGCTCGGTGCCAGGCAAGCTCACCGTGGACAGACTGAAGCGAAGCAGGTGGCCAAGTTGAGGACCTGATGCCGCTAGTAATGACGGTGTTTGTATTGCTTTGCCATTTTTAACTGTTACATTTGAAATGAACATACATTTTGCTTTTTTAATAAATGTTTAAAAGAAGCCCATATAAGCAGCAGTGTTTTGTCTGGTGTGTAGACGGAACTGCTGGCTGTCTGTGTGAATGTATCCTGGTCCGTGTTAAGAACTGTTTCACTGCCCTCTTAGAAAACCCCATGCTCATCAAGAGTGCTGAGGATTCAGTTCTGTGCCTGCTCAATGGTCTCTGAGTTTCTTCTTGCTTTGATCCTAAAAGTATCCTTGGGAGGGCCCAGCGTCCCCATTTTATAACCAGATAAACTGTGACTCAGTGAGTCACTTACTCAGTGCTCCTCTTTTGGAGTTGGGGAACTAATCATTTGTTTGTTTTTATTATTTTTACTGAATTATAGTTTGATGGTATTTAGGTCCTTCCTGTCAGCACAGGGCTCACAGGTTTGTGCCAAACCTAACTCGGTTTTTACATTAGTGTCTTGTTCAGGAATTTGGAGTTGTTTACAGAGCAGTGAACACAACCTAGCAGTAGGAAAAGCTTAGCCACAAGAGCCACGTGTCTGGCCAGGACCTGGAGCACAGCTCCTCTGAATTGTTGATCTAGGACAGGTGTAGAGTATGTGCAGAGCAACAAATGGAGTGGAGTTAGCGCATCTAATAATAAAGTAATTCGACCAAAAATAGCTAAGCTGAGAGCCATCCCAACTTCAGGCATCCCAGTGGCCAAAATCTGTGGTGTTTTTTTTGTTTTGTTTTTTGTTGTTGTTGTTGTTGTTGTTGTTGTCATCTGCTGGAACAGATCCCATGTGGGGCCAAACACAGGGTTAAGGTGGTTCTGGTCTGTTAAATTCTTTTTCAAAAGGATGTTTCCAATTAGCCATGGCCTTTGAACACTACTTCCTACTCCCACAGTGCATGTAGCTCTGAGTGCTTCTAACACTGCCTAGCTAAGCATGTTGATTTACTATGAGTACATACAGGTACAAACTAAATATTGGAATAGATTCTCTAAAATTGAATTTATTTTAGAATAATTGAGGTTTTTTCTCACCTTGTAGAATGAACTGTTATATGTTGAGACCATTCCAGTATGTGTCAGTTGAAGTTAATTAGCATACTGGATGCTTTTTTTCCTTTGCCAGGAAGAGGGGAAAATTGAAAATGAGGGGGAATATGCTGAGTGTGGTGGTCCACACCTTTAATTTCATCAGTGGAGAAGGCAGATCTCTGTGAGATAGAGGCCAGCTGGGGCTACATGGAGACCCTGTCTCAAAAAGACAAAAAGCAGGGGGTGGGGGGGTGACAGTGCAGTCCCATCTTGCATAGTGACTCACAGTTAACCTTTGAAATGCCAGGAGCTCCTGGTCCCATCAGTCAATTAAAATGCAGGATTTGGCTATATGTCCAGGAAGCCTTAAGCCACAGCTTGTTGCCTGAAGAAGACTGAAGAGATGGCCATAGAGGCTCAAAAGTGAGGACAGGTGGGCTGGGGAGATGGCTTAGCAGGTGGCTCATAACTGACAACCCCACATCTATCCCTGGAACCCATGTAGAATGCCAGATGCAGTAGTGTACATCTATAATCCTGGCCACACTGTAGTTAGATGGGATGTGGAGACAACAGAATCACCCAGAAATTTGTGGGCCAACTAGCCTGAAGTATACACAGTGCAACATCAAGAACAAGGGTGACTGTACCTCAACAAGGTGTGTGAGAACCCAGCCCTCAAAGTTGTCCCTGCCCTCCACATGTGTGCCATGGCACATGTGCACCTGCATTCACAATAACAAAGGACCAAGAAGCACAGTAGAACGCTGAACAGAAGTGCTTGTGAAACTGGCCTGAGAAATCTGAAGCCAACTCAGAGTGCAGACTTGAACTTCAGCCTGTGCTGCCAGTGGCTTCTCTGCTTTGGAGAAGTTGTGCACTTCCAGCCAAGTGGAGTGCCCCCGTGCTCTATATTCCTGGAGAGAAGCCATCTGGCCTAAGCCTCCTGTTCCAGTTTGCCTTCTGTCCCTGTGGTAAAGCATTGACTAAAAGCACCTTGGGGAATAAAGGCTTTATTTGGCCTACAGGTTACAGAGCCATCATCAAGGAAAACCAGAACAGGAACTGCAGCAGAGACCATGGAGGAGCTGCTCACTGGTTTGTTCCCCCTGGCTTGCTCAGCTACCTCTCTTATACAGCCCAGGCCCACCTGCCTAGGGGCAGCACCTGGGCTCACAGCAGGCTGGACCCTCCCACATCAATCAAGACAGTGCCCCAAAGCCCAGTCTGATCTGGGAAATTCTTCAGTTGAGGTTCCCTCTTCCCAGGTGACTGGTTTGTGTCAGGTTGGCAAAAACACACAGTTGTCACAGCACCACCTTGCCATGCGTGTATTTGAGTAGAATCTGTGAGGTCTACCACCACCAGGTCTAGCCCCTGTAGACTATTAAGTAGCCCCAGTTCCTTGGAAACCAATCAAGCACGTCCTCCTTAGCATCTCCAGATGGAGTAGAGGACAGGAGGAGGCCATGAAGATTTAAGATGCCCACTGTGCCTGCAGGTTACATGTTAGTAGGAAACAAGATCAGTTCTTTCAAGTGTCTGTACATTGTGTGCTTAGAAACCTAAAGTCATGTCCCTAGTTCTAGAGGCACGCAGTTAGAGCATGCTGTCTGCTCCAAGGAAAAGGGAGCTTTTACTGGGTTTCATTCAATACCTGGTTGGAGACAGAAAGTAACTGTTGTATTATTTTTTTTAATATTTTATTTATTATTTTTATTTTATGTGTGTGGTTGTATTGCCTGCATGTAGGTAAGTTCACCCGTGTCATGCAGTGCCTGTGGAGGACAGAAGAGGCTGTCGGATCCCCTGGAACTGGAGTTACAGACAGTTGTTAGCTGCCATGTGGGTGCTGGGATACAAACCGAGGTCTTCTGCAAGAACAGTCAGTATTCTTAACTGCTGAGCCATCTCTCCAGCCCTGTAACTGTTGTGTTATTACCACACACAAGAGGGACTATGGTAAGGGATGTACCAAAACCCAAGAAATGTTCATTTTCTCACCTGTGACCTCCAAATTAATTGAAATACTGAACTTAATGGCTTTCTGTCATAGGAACTGGGCAGAAACGCATATAAATGGCTTCAACAGAATCATCCCAAATACCACATTCTTGTGTGTGTATAGGTCCATGTGCATGTATGTCCATGCGGAGGCCAGAGGATAACCTTGACTATCATACTTCAAATGCCACTTTGGTTTCCTTTTGAGACAAAATCTCTTACTAGCCTGGCCTTGAACTCCCCAATTTGGCTAGACTGGCTGACCGGCAAACCCAGAGATCCAACTCTCTTTACCTCCCCAGCCCTGGTATTTCAAGTACATGCCATCACACTCAGCTTATTTTACCCAGGTCTGGGGATCAAAGTCAGGCCCTCCCATTTGTACTGCAAGCATTCTACTGACTGAGCCCCCTCCCCAGGCCCAAACATCACATTCTTGCTCAAGTAAATCCTGTGAGCCCCACCCCCACCCAGTCCATCCTAACATCAGACTTGCTGGCCCCTGAAATTGTTGCTGTCTCAAGCACCTGTCAGCACCTGCAGACTGACAATACCCAGATCTTTTTCTGTCCCTGAATGTCATGGACCTGCCTAAGGCTGACTGCCAAATGAGAAATAAGGAAGCCTCCTAACATGCAAATGTCCTTTGACTTCTGAGCTGCCCTCAAAATTAAAGGTCAGACTTAGATGTCCTGGCCATCAGAGCTCATCTGTTGAGTGTGGGAAGCCTTCCCCTGAGTCCATGAGAGCCAGGAGGAGGGCTTCCCAGGAGGATTCAGAGTAGGGGCATTTCAGCAAATGGTCTGAACTAGTGTTGGCTCCACACACATCTGCAGGAGACATCAGTCAAATCTGCACCACCACTGTGTGTGTGATGAATCAAATCTGGGTGTCTGGGTCCTTTACCTTCAGCATGGCCATGCTCATCAGTGGCGAATATGATGATTCTAGTTGAAAGCTTCATTAGGTCGGGACAACTAAGCAGCAGTTGCATACTCTCGAGGGTCTGAACACTTCATAGGGCCCAGCTGAACCAGTGACATTTAGCCGACAGCCTCTTTTCCATGCAGGTAGACAACTCAGCTGTCCACCACAGAGGATAGGAAAACAAAATGTACATACACATTTGTGGTGGTTAGAGCTGTCAGCTTGGCAGAATCTAGAATCACTTAGAGTCCTCCAAACATACCTGTGATGGAGTTTCTAAGTGAATCAAGGCAAGAAAATCCTCCCTAAAGGTGGACACTATTTATGAGCTGAGGTCCTGGACTGAATAGAGAAACCAGCTGAGCACCAGCATTCATCTCTCTGCTTCCTGACTGGATGCCATGTGACCAGCTGCCTCATGCTCCTGCCGCCATGCCTTCCCACCACCATGGACTGTGTCCTCTACACTGAACCCTTCCTTAAGTTGCTTTTGCCAAGTGTTTTGTCATAGCAATGAGAAAGGTAACCAAGACAACAGTCAACAGAATATTGTTAGGACTTAAAAAGGAAGAAAATGTTGATAAATGCTGTAACATGAAAACCTTGAGGACACTGAATCCAGTGACCCAGGACCAGTATGGGGGTGATTCCACTTACATGAGGTGCAGGTGTTAGAGTCAACAGACTCAATGCAGAAAGCAGGCTAGGGAAGGAGGAAGAAACAAACACCACTACAGAGCTCCCTGGGTGCCAAACTTTGATTTGCTGTCATCCATTCATAGAAGCCTGGACTGTCAGAAGCTTAGCCCTGGGCCTACAGGAGGAGCAATGGGGAAGAGAGTACTGCTCTCTGAAGAGTGATTAATTTGATAATTATTGTGGAGAAGAGGAAGAATGATTCTGAAATGTTTGCTCCAGACCCTAAATTTTAACATTTAGCTCTGTGGTTGCAGCATCTGACAGGACAAGGAGGTTGACTGAAATATGGACTAAGATCAGACATGGGAACAGCAGGGAGGAGATTAAAGATGCAGAGCTTTGGGGAGCTGGAGATGCAGAAGCCTGAAAAGGGAGAAAACACTTCAAACAA